TTGAGACATCCTCACGATTTGCCCCCTCGGGCTGCTCGAGTGCGATGCCTGGGATCGTTTCCGATGGCCCGCTCGGATTCGCCACATGACCCGCGGGCCCAATAGGGAGTGGGCTCCCGCTTGAGACTCCCTCGCGATACTCTCACAAACGAGGCCGCCGCTTGAGACATCCTCACGATTTGCCCCCCTCGGGGTGCCCGAGTGCGATGCCTGGTATTGTTTCCGATGGCCCGCTCGGATTCGCCACACGATCTGCGGGCCCAATATGGAGTGGGCTCCCGCTTGAGATTCCCTCGCGATTCACTCACAAACGAGGCCGTCGCTTGAGACATCCTCACGATTTGCCCCCTCGGGGTGCTCGAGCGCGATGCCTGGGATCGTTTCCGATGGCCCGCCCGGATTCGCCACGTGATCTGCGGGCCCACTAGGGAGTTGGCTCCCGCTTAAGATTCCCTCGCGATTCACTCACAAATGAGGCCCCCGCTTGAGACACCCTCACGATTTGCCCCCTCGGGTTGCTCGAGTGCGATGCCGGGGATCGTTTCCGATGGCCCGCTCCGATTCGCCACATGATCTGTTCGCCCAAAAGGGAATGGGCTCCCGCTTGAGACAACCTCGCGATTCACTCACAAACGAGGTCCCCGCTTGAGACATCCTCACGATTTGCCCGCTCGGGGTGCTCGAGTGCGATGCCTGGGATCGTTTCCGATGGCCCGCTCGCATTCGCCGCATGATCTGCGGGCCCAATAGGGAGTGGGCTCCCGCTTGAGACTCCCTCGCGATTCACTCACAAACGAGGTCCCCGCTTGAGACATCCTCACGATTTGCCCCTCGGGGTGCTCGAGTGCGATGCCTGGGATCGTTTCCGATGGCCCGCTCGGATTCGCCACATGATCTGCGGGCCCAATAAGGAGTGGGCTCCCGCTTGAGACTCCCTCGCGATTCACTCACAAACGAGGCCCCCCCTTGAGACATCCTCGCGCTTCGCCCCCTCGGTTTGCTCGAGTGCGATGCCGGGGATCGTTTCAGATAGCCCTCTCGCATTCGCCGCATGATCTGCGGGCCCAATAGGGAGTTGGCTCCCGCTTGAGACTCCCTCGCGATTCACTCACAAACGAGGCCCCAAGTTGAGACATCCTCACGAATCGCCCACTCCGGGTGCTCGAGTGCGATGCCTGGGATCGTTTCCGATGGCCCGCTCGGATTCGCCACATGATCTGCGGGTCCAATAAGAAGTGGGCTCCCGCTTGAGACTCCCTCGCGATTCACTCGCAAACGGGGCCCTCGCTTGAGACATCCTCACGATTTGCCCCCCTCGAGGTGCTCGAGTGCGATGCCTGGATCGTTTCCGATGGCCCGCTCGGATTCGCTACATGATCTGCGGGCCCAATCGGTAGTGGGCTCCCGCTTGGGAATCCCTCGCGATTCTCTCACAATCGAGGCCGCCGCTTGAGACATCCTCACGATTTGCCCCCCCTCGGGGTGCTCGAGTGCGATGCCTGGGATCGTTTCCGATGGCCCGCTCGGATTCGCCACATGATCTGCGGGCCCAATAGGGAGTGGGCTCCCGCTTGAGACCAGCTCGCAATTCACTCACAAACGAGGCCCCCGCTTGAGACATCCTCACGATTTGCCTCTTCGGGGTGCTCGAGTGCGATGCCTGGGATCGTTTCCGATGGCCCGCTCGGATTCGCCACATGACCTGCGGGCCCAATAGGGAGTGGGCTCCCGCTTGAGATTCCCTCGCGGTTCGCTCACAAACGAGGCCGCCGCTTGAGACATCCTCACGATTTGCCTCCCGCGGGGTGCTCGAAAGCGATGCCTTGGATCGTTTCCGATGGCCCGCTCGGATTCGCCACATGATCTGCGGGCCCAATAAGGAGTGGGCTCCCGCTTGAGACTCCCTCGCGATTCTCTCACAAACGAGGCCCCCGCTTGAGGCATCCTCACGATTTTCCCCCCTCGGGGTGCTCGAGTGCGATGCCTGGTATTGTTTCCGATGGCCCAATGGGGAGTGGGCTCCCGCTTGAGACCCGCTCGCGATTCACTCACAAACGAGGCCGCCACTTGAGACATCCTCACGATTTGCCCCCCTCGGGGTGCTCGAGTGCTATGCCTGGGATCGTTTCCGATGGCCCGCTCGGATTACCAACACGAAGTGTGGGTCCTATAATGGGGGGGCTCCAGCCTGAGGCTCCCTCGCAGTTCACGCACACACAAAGGCCCGGCTGGAGACATCCTCACGATTTGCCTTCTTGGGGTGCGCAAGTGCGACGCCTGGTAAGAGTTTGCCGATGACTCGCTCGGATTGCAAGCATGACGTGCGGGTGCCATAGCGAGGATGCTCCCGCCTGAGACTTTCTCGCAATTCACTCACAAACGAGGCTCCCGCTCAAGGCATGCTTGCGATTTGCCCCCCTAAGGGTGCTCAAGTGCTATGCCTGGTAAATGCTTCTGCTGGCCCGCTCGGATTACCAACGTGAAGTGCGGGCCCCATTGGGAGGGGGCGCCCGCTCGAAACTTCCCTCAAAGTGAGTACGTGAGTGTGTGAGCGTGTATGGTGGTAATGAGTGGTGATGGTGGTACTCATGATGCTGCCGCTGCTGATGATGATGACGTTGGTGGTGCTGATGGTGATTCTGATGCTGCTGATGTTGATGATTATGGTGCTGATGCGTGGTGGTGGTGAGTGAGTGTGTAATTGTGTGAGTGGGTGCACGATGATGACGATGATGATGGTGACGATGAGGTGTGCGCGTGTGGGTGGGTGTGCTCCTGCGCGGGGTGTTCATGTGGGGAACGATGATGATGCGGATGTTGACGTTGATGTTGTTTGTTGAATATGTTAATGATGATTGTGATGGTGGTGGTGATGGTAATGATGATGCTGCTGCTGATGATGATGCTGATGATGATGATGCTGATGCTGCTGCTGATGATGATGGGTACGTGGGCGTGTGGGTATGTGAGCGAGGAAAAGAAAGGGGAAGAAGAGACAGAGGAGATATTGCGCGGGGCGTGTGCAACGAAAACAAGAAACATACGAAACCCACTTTGGATGTTGAGAAACTCAGAGGAGGCGATGCCGTCGCCGGCCAGGACAGGACGAGACCCAACCCGCGCCAGGCCAAGGGACAGCGATGATGATTATGCTGATGCTGATGCTGCTGATGATGATGCTGATGACGATGCTCTATTATGACGCTGCTGCTGATGATGATGCTGATCATGAGGATGGTGGTCAAGCTGATGCTACTGCTGATGATGATGATGATCACGAATGTGATGACGATGATGATGATGCTGCTGCTGAGGCTGATGTTGATGATGACGATGACAATCTTGATGACGATGGTGAGGATGATGAGGAGGAGGAGGAGGAGGATGGATTATGATGACGAGGAGGATGACGAGGATGATTACGAATGTGATAAGAATGGATGAGGGGGGAGGAGAGCAGGAGGATAAGGACCAGGACGAGGATGATGATGATGATGATGCTGATAATGATGGTGATGATGATGATGATGATGATGATGAGGATGAGGAGGACGATGGGGGAGGAGGAAGAGGAGGAGAAGGAGAAGGATGGATGTCTGGGGGTTCTAACATTGATTTCGGGGATATTCGGGAGTCTAGGGTGCTGGAGGAAACAGAAAAAACGGGGATAATGAAGAAAGAACTCTGTGGAGTTCTGAAACGGGTGTTGGAACAATTGTGGTGTCAATGGGGGCTTCGGGGGTGTCGTTGAAATCCCAGGGGGGAGGAGGGATGGAGGGAGGGATGAGGAAAAGGCAGAGGACGGAGGAGGCGGCGGATCACATGGATTGGGGGTAGAAGAGGGGAGGGGGATGGTTATGATGCTACTGCTGCTGCTGATGACGACGACGATTATGGTGGTGATGATGATGTTGCTGCTGATGCTGATGCTGATGCTGCTGCTGCTGCTGATGCTGCTGATGATGATGCTGCTGCTGCTAATGATGATGAGAGGGAATGGGGAAAGGAGAAGGATGAGGAGGAAGAGGATAAGATAAGGAGGAGGAGGACGAGGAGGAGGAGGAAGACGAGAGGAGGAGGAGGAACCTGTGCTAGGCCTTAAAACCTATCAATTTTGGCCGTAGCATCCTGGTGAAACAGCTCACAAAGTGAGCGCTCAAGCTTGCACGCTATCTTCGAGCTCTGCAATGTAGCTGCAGGGCATCGCTAAGACAGCCGCGGGGATGCCTCGATGCTGACATGAATTGGCCGCGGGACAGGGATGATGTATGAAATACGAAGCAGATCTGCAATGCGTGAGCGCCGGCATACCTACTAGGCCTTCCTGCACCAGATTCGGCGGTTACAAGTGAGGGCGGCGTGCTCATTAGGTGCGCATTCTCTTGGGCGGAATATCAATTACATCTTGTAATGCTAATGGCAATTGTGTGCTTTTCGTTTATCATATTATCGCTCATGCTCGCCGACTCGCGCTGCGTATTCTTCCGTTGCCACTCATGAGATGCCCATTGTTATTAGGTCGGATATGTCCTCCTGCAAGCAGATTTTAGCAGATGCTAATCAAACCATGATCCAACGTAGTCAAGCACGATCGAAACATCGTCCCTGGACTATCTTTTTGACTCTTCTCGAATATTCCTCCTGTAGAGGGACGCGCCCGACTTAACATTATCACAACGGTTCGGAGGAGGAGCAGGAGGCGGATGAGGAGGAGGAGGAGGAGGAGGAGGAGGAAGCGGAGGAGGCGGAGGAGGAGGAGAAGGAGGAGGAGGAGGGTCTTCCCGTTCGCCACGGGGACGGCGCAGCACATGCGATGCTGGCCTGCCCCCGCGGGAACCTCGCCTTCCCCCCTCTGGGCCCGCAGAGCCCCCGAGGCACCCTGCGAGAAGCAGAGTGGACAAAGGCTGTGCCTTAGGTCGGGCACGAGATGCTGTACTGGGTGGAGGAGACGCGTGCGGACGCTTCCGGGGCGACGCACTCGAACTTTGGCACTGGGGCCTTCGGTGGAGCTCTTTATGGGGCCACGAAGCGCTGTACTTGTGGAGCTCCCTCTTTGCTATGGGGCGACGAAGCGTTGTAGTGGGTGGGGGAAACGCATGTGGACGGTGCCATGTAGCGCCGTCGGTGGAGCTCCCTGTGGGGCCACGAGATGCTGTTGTGGGTGGGGAAGACGCATTCGAACGGTTCTGGTGGAGTTCCCTAGGGGGCCACGAAGCGCTGTAGTGGGTGGGGGAGATGCGTCTGGACGATGCCATTGGGGCCTTCGGTGGAGCTCCCTATGGGGCCACGAAGCGCTGTACTTGGGGGGGGCGACGCATGCGGAAGGTGCCAATGGGGCCTTCGGTGGGCCATTCGGCGGATTCTGGAAAACAATATGAAAACATCGGCCCAAGAAATCCGCGCGGACCTCCGAGCTTTTATGTTTATGTCACCCTTCGTTTCCCTAAAATAGCCAAAACATAAACAAACATACACAACAGAGCACGAACAATCGTCACCAGACTATTTTTTGATTATTCTCGAATGTTCCTCCTGTAGAGGGACACGCCCGACTTAAGATGTGCCCCCGTAGCCCTTATAACACTACTTTTTGTAGTATGTGCCAATCGGGACACCGCCGGGGCAGACGCATGCGAACTTTCTCTCTGGGGCTTTCGGTGGAGCTCCCTATGGGCCACGAGACTCTGTAATGGATGGGGGAGACGCACGCGAACTTTGACACTGGGGCCTTTGGTGGAGCTCCTCCTAATGGGGCCACGAAGCGCTGTACTGGTGGAGCTCCCTCTTCCCTATGGGGCGACGAAGCGCTGTGCTGGGTGGGGGAAACGCATGTGGACGGTGCCATGTAACGCCGTCGGCGGAGCTACCTGTGGGGCCACGAGATGCTGTTGTGGGTGGGGAAGATGCATGCGGACGGTTCCGGTGGAGCTCCCTATGGGGCCACGAAGCGCTGTATTGGGTGGGGGAGATGCGTGCGGACGATGCCATTGAGGCCTTCGGTGGGGCTCCCTATGGGGCCACGAAGCGCTGTACTGGGTGGGGGCGACGCATGCGGAAGGTGCCAATGGGGCCTTCGGTGGGGCTTCCTATGGGGCCACGAGGCGCTGTCCTGGGGTGGGGAAGCGCATGCTGGCGCCGTCGTTGGAGCTCCCTAGGGGGCCACGGAGCGCTGTCCTGGAGTGGTGGGACGCTTGCGGGCGGTAGTATCGGGGCCGTCGGTGGAGATCCCTATGTGGCCACGATGCGCTGTAGTGGATGGGGGAAACGCAAGCGGTAGCCGTGGGACCTTCGGTGGAGTTCCCAATGGGGCCACGAAGCGCTGTACTGGGTGGGTGGGGGGGGGACGCACGCGGGCGGCAGCACTGGAACCTTCGGTAGACTTCCGTATGAGGCCACGGACCGCTGTACTGGGTGAGGCGGACGCATGTGGGCGGTAGCAGTGGGGCCCTCGGTGGGCTCCCTACGGAGGCCACGAAGCGCTGTACGGTGTGTGGCGGACGCGTGTGGGCGGCAGCATTGGGACCTTCGGTGGAGCTTCCCCTGTTGCCACGAAGCGCTGTACGGGGTGTGGCGGACGCATGCGGGCGGTAGCACTTGGGGGGGACGAGGGCGGCGGGAGATGATGCGGGACGCTGCCTCTTCAAAACGAGGACCCGACACCACAGGGTGGCGGCGCTCCCACGGTGGAGTGCTGAGGGGGCAGGTCTTCTCAGAAGGCTCGAAGGCCAGAGGCCTCCTTGAGAAACTGCTCAATCTTTTCTGAAACCGCACCAAAGCTTCTCAGAAGGCCGGGGCGCCTCCGAGCAGCCCCGCCGTCTTCTGACAAGGCTTGCCCCTCCCTCCCCCCAGATGTCCTTCGACTTGTTTTTTTCCGATCCGACGCCCCGGAGCCCCCGACACCTTCCCTGGGGCTAATTCTTCGCCCGGATCATTTTTGGAATTCGGGGATCCGCTGACCTGGGTCAATCCAGACCCCGGTCAGTCGGGCCTTGCAGGATACTGCAAGATCCTCCAGGATCCTGCGCCCAAGCCCGGGTCAATGCGACCCTGGCCCTGCAGGGTCCTGCGGGATCCTTCAGGATCCTGCGCTCAAGCCCAGGTCAGTGCGCCCCTGGCCCTGCAGGATCCTGCAACATCCGGCGCTCTGGCGACCCCCGTTTGCATTGACCCCCGTCTTTTGAGCCCCGACGTTTTGGATTGCCCCCAGGGCCAGCGCCGGGCTTCAGAGCCCGAGGTCGAGGAAGCAACGCCGGGGCAAAACACAAACTCAGACCGTCGGAGACCATCTTGGTCAGCGCGCCGCCGAAGCGTCATCACGATTCGTTTTCCTCCGCCTCCGCCGCCTCGTCGGCGTCGCCGCCGTATCGTCCTTGGCCTCGTCTAGAGGAGGAGAAAAAATGCATAAACATGAACCTTGGGGGATGGACAGAACCCCCTTTGAGTAAAACGTGGTTTAGTGAAAACGACCTCGGGCCCAACCCCTGGCGGGCGCAAGCCAGGAGAAGGACGGCCGCGGCGCCCCCTCGAGAACCGAACATGGACACTTCACTAATCGAAATGTCAAGCTGGGGGTTCTCTCCACCCCCGACCGTCTAGTCTGGCGCCGCCACTGGCGCGCTCCGCGCGCCAGGGAGGGGGGTGCCCGGCATGTATGCCGTTTTTTGCTCTTCGATCGTCGCGGGGGGCCCTCCTCTCCCAGCCCCTCTTTCCGTCCCCTCGTTCCTTTTCTCGGGCGCGGCCCAACCGACCCCTGGTAAGAGATCTACTTCCGTGACGTCATCCTCTCCCAGACATGATCGCGTCTTTTAAAAAATCAGGGCGGGAGGGTCTTGGCCAATGTCGGCCTCGAGGGGGCCCTCGCCGGGCCTCGGGACCGTCAAAGAACGCCTCGGGACGAAAAACCAGTTCTGGGGAAAAGGTCAGGACTTCCAGGGACCCCGTATGGGAAAAATCAGGGCGTCGCATGTCTGGGCACCTTTGAAGCCTCTTCCTTCTGGCCGCATGCGCACGTTTTGGGGGCGACATGCGAGGGGGACGTCATGGTAGGGAACGGTTCGCTAGGGAAGAGGAGGAGGAGGAGGAGGAGGAGGAGGAGGAGGAGGAGGAGGAGGAGGAGGAGAGAGGAGGAGGAGGGAGGAGGAGGAGGAGGAGGAGTGGAGGAGGTGGAGGTGTAGGAGAGATGAGGAGAGGAGGAGAAGGGGAGCGGGGAGGAGGAGGCGGCAGGAGGAGGAGGAGGAGGAGGAGGAGGGAGGAGAGGAGGAGGAGGAGGAGGAGGAGGAGGAGGAGGAGGAGGGGAGGAGAGGAGGAGGAGGGGAGGGGAGGGAGGAGGAGGAGGAGGTGGAGGAGGAGGAGGAGGAGGAGGAGGAGACCGAGGAGGTGGCCAGGGAGGAGGAGGAGGGATGCCGCCCCGTTCTTTTTCTCTGCCCCTCTCTCCGCCGCCGCCGCGCAGCGCAGGGGCTGCCGGGCGGTTCCGTGCTGCGGACCGTGCGCGGCGCTGGGGCCCCTGGGCAGCCGCTCGAAGTCCGCGGGGGCCGCGGCACGCAGCACGGGCAGTCCGCTCGAGACGTCCCCCCACAGATCTGGGCGCGGACGGAGGAGTGAGATGTGTTTTTTTTGTTTTTGTTCTTTGTTGTTATTATACATATATATATATATATATATATATATATCGCTCGTAACCATATATAGATATACATATGTATGTATATATATATATACACACACGTTTTTTTTCTTCTTTTTCTTTTTTGTTATATATATTGTTTTTTGTTTTTTAAATTTATTTGTTCTTAATCACTTCGAGGGCCCAAAGGGGCCCGTGCGTGCACGGAATTCTTTCTGCAGGCCTGGCCCTAGCCGCCGACACAGGGGCCCGCCGCCGCCGCCGCCCGCTCACCGCGTAACCCTTCGATAAGGCATCCAGGGTCTGGAGGCCGGTGGAACTCCAATCGCGGCTTGGCCATGGATGTCACCGCCGCACTCATCAAGATAAGAGACCCTTCAGGGTCTGGAATCTCCTGGGCACGTTCCTTAGCGAACGCCTCCACCGTATGTGCACCCTTGCGCCCCCCCCGTGGGTGTGCGAAAACCAGCGCCTCGCTCGAGGCATCTTTTCAGGTCTGCTCCGATGGCGGGAGAAGTTGTGCATGCGGACGGGCAAAGCGCTCGAGGCATCCCCAGAATCTGGGCGCGGGCGCTCTCTGAGGGCGATCGCCGCCCCGCCCAGGGTCAAACATCGGCCCCTGTAAAGAGCCGAACTCCATACACCGACGCTTTTTCGGGCCCCGCACTGAACCTCGCCCAGGAAAGCGGGTCCTGGTGTATCCTAGTGTATACCTTTTTCGTTGCTTCCCCAGGGAAGCGGGGACAACAAGTATAAACCACACCACCCCGACGTCGTCCCCGACCCTCAAAAAGTCCTGGGATTGAAAAACCGCCCGCCACTGGTAGTGTACATGTGAACGTTTTCTATTTTTCTATTTCCGCGTAGTTTTTTGGACAATCCTTCATTTTTCTCCCCAGATCAGCCCGTAGGAGGACACGCCCGACCTAAATCTACGGCGGTCCAACCCCGAACTGCGAGGTTGACCAGCGGTGACGGGAGATGTACGGGTGGAACACCAAGGAAAGATCTGCGAAACATATGACGCGGACCCCACTCAGACCCGCTAGTACCCCCTTTCCTCCGCGACCCGCCCACATCCCCTCGAGCATCCTCCGTCACAAGCGCGATACCTCACAAACGCCCCGCCCGCTCCATCCCCAAGTTGGGCCCCACCACCCTCGTTGTCATGATTTGAGCAGGGGCCGATCGTCCTGGCATCCCTATTTCCTATAGGCCTACCACGGGATGTTCTGAGAACCCCAAGAACTTCTGATAACAAAAAGCAGTGTTCTTAGAAAAGGAAGGCGATATGTGAAGCCAAGACAGTCCCAGCCATAAAGGTTCTACTAACATTTTGTGCAACCCACACAAGATTCTTAGAAATTCCTTGGTGGACGTATATGGGCGAGCCAGATGCCTCGCCGCTACTGAAGACGCAGAAGACTCCTCAGAAGGCCCGAGGTCTTCTGAGAAGCCCCGCCGCCTTCTGAGATGGCCTTCTCCTTCTCATTACCCCCCCCTCGCTCGCCGCCGAATCTGGTTTTTGGGTCATATTTCTGGTCTCCGGCGGCCGTTCGGGACAATCCGGGCATCCCAGGAACGTCCTCGGCGAGGCGCAGCCGCTGGAACGCATCCCGAGGCTGGAAAACCGCCGAGAACCGACGAACACGTCCAAAAACCTCGAGCCTGGAACCCGAAACTTCTCCTCCCCACTTCCCCCCCCTTCGCTCGCCGCCGAATGTCACGATTTTTTCACCAGTTTTGAATCTTCCTCCTGTAGAGGGACGTGCCCAGCGCAGCTCCAGGGCGGGCCGCGGGTTCGGCGGCCAGAGGACAGGACGAAGATGGCAGTGCACACTTCGCGGGCCAGTCATGGTATGTTCCTATATCTACAGATGCCGAGGTCGGGCAAACGGCGATGTTGCTTGACGGTGATGCTGAGAGCCAGAGCGGGGCGCCGCGAGGTGTGCGGCAGAGGTGGGCCCTCCCGGGCAGGCCGCGGGCCTGGCGGCCAGAGGACAGGACAAGAACGGCAGTGCACGCTGCGCGGGCCAGGCACAATACGATGGCGTTTACATCGGCGGCGTTTTCGGGCGCCTTCGTGACTTCCCGGCGGCTTTGCAGCCTCGGGATGCGTTCCAGCCGCTGCGCGTCGCCGAGGGCGTTCCGGGGGTGCCCAGATCGTCCCGGACGGCCGCCGGCGACCCGAGATATGGCCCAACAACCAAAGTCGGCGGAGAGCGAGGGGGGGGGGAGAAGGCCCTCTCAGAAGGCGGCGGGGCTTCTCAGAGGCCCTCGCGCCGTCCGAGAAGCTCTTCCTTGGTCTTCGGGGAAGGCTCGGAACACTTCTCAGAAGGCCGGGGGACTTCTGAGCCTTCTGAGAAGGCCCGCCCCCCTGCTCACTTCCCCCCCGGGCTCGCCGCCGCACATTGCGTATACGGGCCACTGTGACTCTGCATCGGCATGCGCGAAACTGACGTTTCCTGACTGTTCATGTCACAGCGGTTCACGTACCGGGGCGCAGCACGGGCCACCTCAACAACTCCCCTGGAACCTCCTCGGACACAACGTTTGACCAACCTCGATCCAGAGCCCAAGGAACTCAGTTACGCCCCTGAGGCTGGCAGGACCCCCTACCTGAAGCACGATGGGAGTCAACGGATTAGTTCAACATAGCTGCGTATTTCATCTGAGGATGCGCAAAGCTGCCTTCCAAACCCGCCAAGTAATTCCAAATGGACAGCGTGCGCACTTAACCTGGTGGGGGCCCAAACGGTACAAAGGTGACCGATTTACCGGTAGCTGTACACTTCACTTGCATCTCATGTGTCGAGGAGACTTGGCCACCAAGAGGCCTTGGCGGCAAAGTGAATCATATATTATCCCAGTGTGACCCTACCTAGGAGTTGGAGCATCTAGGAAAGCAACATCTACATCTACACCGACAGCTACATTAACATCTACACCTGCATCTACATCTACATCAACATCAACAGCGAGACTCACATCTATATCTACATCTACACCTACATCTACACCCACATCTACATCTACATCTACATCTACACCTACATCCACATCTACACCTACACCTACATCTACATCTACATCTACACTTTCGCATTGGTTTTGCTTTTGCTTTGCATTGCCTTGCCTTTGCTTTTGCTTTGGCTTTTGCTGTTGTTTTAGCATTGCTTTGCGCTATGCTATGCTATGCTATGTTAGGGTATGCTAGGCTGCGCTATGTTATGCTATGCTATATTATGTTATGATATGCTATGTTGCGCTATGCTATGTTATGCTATGCTGCGCTATGCTATGCTATACTATGCTATGCTGCGCTATGCTATGTGTTGCTAGGCTATGATATGATATGCTATGCTGCGCTATGCTGTGTTATGCTATGTTTCGCCGTGTTACGCTATGCTATGCTATGCTATGCTGCGCTATGCTATGCTTTGCTATGCTATGCTGCGCTATGCTATGCTATGCTATGCGATGCTATGCTATGCTGCGCTGTGCTGTGCTATACTATGCTATACTATGCTGCGCTATGCTATGCTGCGCTATGCTATGCTATGCTATGCTATGCTATGCTTCGCTATGTTATGCTATGCTATGCTGCGCTATGCTATGCTATGCTAGGCTATGCTATGATACGCTATGTTATGCTACGCTATGCTATGCTATGCTATGCTGCGCTATGCTATGCTATGCTATGCTATGCTGCGCTATGCTATGCTTTGCTATGCTATGCCATGTTGCGCTATGCTATGCTATGCTATACTATGCTATGCTATGCGATGCTGCGCTATGCTATGCTATGCTATGCTATGCTGCGCTATGCTATGCTATGCTACGCTTTGCTGCGCTATGCTATGCTATGCTGTGCTATGCTGGGCTATGCTGGGCTGTGCTGTGCTAAGCTAAACTATGCTATGCTATGCTGCGCTATGCTATGCTGCGCTATGCTATGCTATGCTATGCTATGCTGCGCTATGCTATGCTAAGCTATGCTATGATATGCTATGCTATGCTAATGCTGCGCTGCGCTAAGCTGAGCTAAGCTAAACTAAGCTAGGCTAAACATAGCTAAGCTAAACGAGGCTAGGCTAAGCGAAGCTAAGCTAAACTAAACGAAGTTAAGCTAGGCTAAGCTAAGATGAGACAAGCAACGCTAAGCTAAGGGGACGTAACTGGGGGAACCGCGGGGCGGATCCTGGGGGAACCGCCCGGGGCGCGTTCCACTGCCCGGCCCCTTTAAGCAAAGAGAGTAAGAACCGTTCTAGGCAGAACCTAGGTAGGGAACAATGATCCTGACCTTGGGTTGAAGAACGTTCGGCGAGATAGTTTGGGTGCGCTATCAAACATTACAAGGTGAGGGCGAGTCTGAGATGCTTACCAAATTCCTCGCACATCGCGTGAATCCAAAAGCCTGCACCCACATGCTTGCATATCATATTGTGATGCTGTTGTAATGAGACTCGTCTGCTCGCGCTACTTGTAGCAGGCGGATCGACGACATGGTCTAGGAATATGTGCAAAGAACGTCATCGCCACTCGGTGGAGGACTGCTGTGACACCAGATGGCGCCGATGGGCCCGTTGCTCTCCGACGCAAGCCACACTGCATTCCGAGTGATTTGTCTTGAAATTATGAGAATGCGATCGTGCTCCTGTATATGTTCGCCGCTATGTCCTCTCGGGCGCTGTGGCGTGTTATACAGCCTTGGGGATGTCTGGCAAGTTTCCAGTACTTCTCCGACGGCGACCTCTCCCTTCCGTTGAAAGCCCCAAGGCGGCCCTCATACGGCCCCAGACCCTGCAAAATAGCTCCGCACAGGCCCCAGACAGCCCCAGACTGGCCAAATATCCTCCCAAGGCGAGACGGCCCCGAGACTCCCCAACCGCAGACGGCCGCAAGACCTAGGAATCCCTCAAGAAGCCCTAACAAGCTTCGAAGTCACGTGGAACAACGGAAGAACCAAGTTGGAACCATGATGGGCCGACGGTACAACGGTCTCGCATACATCTCGATGTTGTGCTGACACGGTGGCGAGAATTGCAGCAGGCATCTGGATGAATAATGGTTGATTTGTTGCCACCTTGACAATGCAATACGTGTTAGGACCCACGAGGGATGCATCATCCAGGATATCGTGGCTGATTGGTGACCCATCGTTGGGAGACTGAGGCCGCCTAGTACGCCACTTCGGCAGTGTGACATCAGTATCTGGCCCTCAGGAACCAATTCCTTGTTTCATTTCCCCTACCTTACGCTCTGCCTATTAGTAGTGCCCATGCCTACTTGGAACACGCCTTCCCTGCGATCGCCGAACTCTCCGAAGCAAGGCGCGCTCAGGGGCAGTCGGGCTGCATGCTCTCCCTAACCCTGCTTCCGAGCTCGGTATGAGGCCCGGGTCTGCTGCATCGATCCAGATGGCGGCGGCGTCGGTGGCTTCGGAGGCGCCGATCCAGCACTCATCTGGCTCCCCGTGCGCGTGAAACTGCCAGCCTGCGTCGCTGGCGGGCGTGGCCCACGGCCCCCGGACGCCGACGAGCCACCCGAGGGCGGCCGGCCATGGCCGCCGGGCGGCAGCGGCGGTGGTGTGGCGACGCGGCTGGCCTTCAGCTTCTCGGACAGGGCCGCAGAGACAGCGCTGACAGCGGAGCCCGTGGGGGAGGGGGGCACGCCGCCCAGCGGCATGGGCGGTGCCTGGCGCACGGTTTCCCCCGGGGCCGCAGGCGACCCGAGGAGGAGGAGGAGGAGGAGGAGGAGGAGGAGGAGGAGGAGGAGGAGGCGGAGAGGAGGGAGGAGAGGAGGAGTTGAGGAAGACGGAGGACGAGGGAATGAGGAATGAGGAGGGGGAGGAGGAGGAGGAGGAGGAGGATGAGGAGGGAGGAGGAGGAGGAGAGGTGAGGAGGAGGAGGAGGAGGAGGAAGAGGGGTCGCCTAAGCCCTTCGGAGAAACCCTCCAGTGCCTGGACCGGGGCGCTGGGGCCGAAGGGCGAGCTGTCCAGCCTGCCGGGCAGCAGGTTCACGCCCGGCTGCAGGGGCGGAGTGGCCGGAGGCAGGGGCTGCCCGCGCCCGCTGTCCGACATGCCCCCCCTCGGCGTGGCGCTGTCTCGGGGCGTGCCGCCCATGGGCGTGCCGCCCTGGGGCGTGCCGGGCACGTTCTGCAGGGCAGCCGCCACGGGGAGGCTCTGCCCAGAGCCGCTGCGCAGCATCGGGGCGCCAGGGGGCGGCGCCCCAGGCGGGGGGGGCGGGGTTCCCGACGGCAGGTAGGCTGGGCGGGAGACGGGCATGGGCCTCAGGAGCGCTCCTTCGATCCAGAGGTCCACGATCCAAGGCCTGATCTTACTCCTGACTTGGCCGGCTCAGTGCATCCCACAACGCGAAGCACCCCGCTGGTCGAGGGCCCGACCGACCCTCCCGATCACAATCGATCGACGAATCAGATCAGCGGTGGTGGGATCGGCCAACTGCTCGGGTCCCGATCGTCGGACCAGGGGACTTCTAAGGCAGGGGCTGGTGTGGTGGTGGAGGGGGTGCGCTCTTCGGGGGGTTCGCCGGCGCCATCGTCGGCACTGGGGGCCGCATGGGCGGGGGGCCCCTCAGCCGCACGTCAGGACGCTTGGCACCCGCCCCCACCTGCCTGAGTCGGCTCTGCAAGAAATCACCGCCCGCCATGCGACGGCGGATCTCGAACTTGCGCAGCTCCACAACGGTAGTAATCGCGCTACGGATGACTTCCAGGATGGACCCCCAAAGCAAGAGCGCGATCACGAGCCCCATGCGCCAGTGCTCTTCCTCAATGCGCCCGAACTTCACCACGTATGCCAGTGTGTAGAACACATTGCCAGCAATCGAGACAATGCAGGCGGCATAGGGAGCCAGCCACGTGGCCGAGAACACCCAGCTGGGTGTGGTCCAGTTCACCTCCTGGCTTTCCTCCAGCAGGACGCGCTGGTGCGACTGGTGCGCGCGGTCAAGGTAGGTCAGGCGGACGCGACGAACGAACGTGGGGTCGTCCTCCCGTGGAGGCGGCGGCGGCGGTGGAGGTGGAGGCGGCGCGGGCACCTCGCGAAAGGCTAAGTTTTGGTCAGGAATGTCCTCGTACAGGCGGATTCTGGAAAAGGTCAAAGCATCAACAAGAATAGCCCAAAGATAACACATCGTCACCAGACTATCTTTAAACCTATTCTTGAATCTGCCTCCCGTAGAGGGACATGCCCGACTTAAGGTTAAGTCCAGTTGGAGGCCCGCTGGATGGAGCCCCTTGGTTCTGCTCTGATTGATCTTTTGGCGCCGCCTTGGAGGAGGCAAAGTCTAGCCTCTAAACATCCATCCGAAGGTGTTGACGTCTCCCTTCCGCTTCCGCCGGCCCTTCGCTGGCTTCTGCCGCTGTCCTTTCGCCGCCCTCCGCCGAGGAAGCCGCGGCAACCTCTCGATCACTCGAAGGCGACGCCACGCCTAGAGCGCCCCAGATCGAGCTCCCTGGCCCTGGCCATCGCTCGGACGTCTTTTACCTGCGTTTGTTTCGGTTTCGTGCGTGGTTCTTTCGCAGGATGATCCAGGAAGCTCCTCAATGATCCCCGGCGAGAAGAAGTGCGCACGCCCGAGCGATACCAAGGGCCCTGACTGGACTCACTCCTCGGGGAGGCCGCAAGAAGGTGGGGCGTACGGCCAGAGCTGGGGGGCAGAGGAGGCTCACTCTCTCTGGGCGGCCCCCCGGAGAACGCAGCTGCCAGCATCGCCGAGCTCGCTCCCGAACCCGGAGCCGCGCCGAGGTCAGGAAGTGAGACTCGGAAGGCGGCCAGGCGTCGGAGAAGAAGACTCCGAACCCTTTCTTCTCAGAAGGCGTGACCCGTTGTTTTCGACGCGGACCCCCAGGAGGAGGAAGAGGAGGGGGGAAGATGAGGATGAGGAGGAGGAGGTTGTTTTTGGTTGTTTTTCTGTTCGGCCCCCTGGCGCCCTACCGGCGGGCTAAACCAGGGGGCCGTCAGCGCAGCAGTCAGGCCGCGCCGTCGCCGTCGCCGAAGGGCGACTCCCTGCCCGCCGCCGCGCGCGCCCGCGCCCAGCGAGCAGCGGCGGCGGGCGAGGCGAAGCCGTGGAGCTCGGCCGCCTGCCAGGCGTCAGCCGTGGCGGGCCGCAGCCCCCAGCGCGGCGGCCGCCCTGCTCCAGCGGGAGCTCCAGCGCCGCCCTCAGCGCCAGCGTCGCCGTGGAGCACCGACGCGAGCCGCGCCTGCTCCTCCTCCGTAGGCGGCTGAGGAGCCAAGAGCCGAGCCCTGCTCTTCGGCTCCTGGAGGCGCAGTAAGAGCCGCCGCGCCTCCGCCGCCCTCTCGCCTGGGGCAGGCCGCCCCTTGCAGCTGCCCAGCAGGCCTGTCCCAGCTGGAGGGGGCCGCTTCCAGAAGCGGCAGCCACACTTCAGGCACCAGGCCATGGCCCCATCGCCGTTCTCGAGGCGCGAGACGACGATGCAGTGCCCGCGCACCACCCGCGCCACTCCAGCTCCAGCCACCGCAGCCTTCAGCTCGGGAGCGGCCACAGCTGCATCCGCAAGCTCGTCGGCAGCGGCCCCAGCGGCAGCGGCGGGCGCCTGGCCGAGCTCCTCGTCAGCAGCGGCCCCAGCAGCAGCGACAGGCGCCTGGCCGAGATCGAGATCGGCCTCGAGCGCCAGCGCAGCCACCTCCGCGTCGGCCAGCTCCGCCGTTTCCAGCGCCGCCTGCGGGATGTCGTAGACGAGGTCGGCCGTGCCCACCACCCCGTCCGAGTCCAGCTGCTCGCGGTCCACCATGGTGGCGGCCAGCTCGCCGACCCAGCGCCCGAGCTCCTCCACGCGCCAGGCGCATGCCTGGAGGAACCAGACCCGCTCCTCGTCGATCGGCCACAAGGCGGCCCCGCTCTTGGCCCACAGGTCGGCTGCCCTGTTGCCCCTGATCAGGGGCTCATCCTCCCAGGAGGCCGCTGCAGCGAGCGCCCTGTGCGCCTTGACCTTGCGCACCGTGGCCGACGGGCCTGGCCCTGCCCACCGCTCCCGCCACAGGTGGCGGCGCGCCTGCAGCGGCGCGAGGGCCTTGCCCTGCGAGAGCGCCGCGCCGACAGTGCCCGCGCAGTCGCAGAAGACCTCGAGGCCCGAGCCGCCGGGCGACGGCAGCCAGAACTGGGCCAGCATGTTGAACGCGTAGTCCTCGCCGTCCCTGGCCTCCTGCTCGGGCCCGTGCGCCAGCGGGACGATGCCGCGCATCCCGCCGATGACCTCCCCGCTGAGGCCGATCTGCACCACCGCCGAGCCTGCGCGGCGGGCCCCGCGCAGCGCAGGAAACCTGGCGCTGCCGTCCACGAAGACCCTGCCCGCGAACTTCGAGCCAGGCGGCACGCCGAACCAGCGCGGGCCGCGAGCGCGGCGTCGGCCGCCGCGGGGAAGGCGAAGGAGGGGTCGGGGCACAGCGCACGCGCGAAGAGCTCCGCCGCGGCGCCCCCGCGCTGCGCCACCAGCCGCGCCCCCTCCAGCAGCTCAGGCGAGCACGCGTCCCGCCGCAGAGGCAGCCAGGCGTCGCACTCGAAGGCCCTGTGCCACAGCGTGCCTCGGCCACCGCAGAGGCGGCAGAGGCCGTCGCGCGCTTTGCCCTCCTTCCAGAGGCGCTCCTGCGGCCAGTGGGAGCCGCCGAGGACCGCCCCGAGCGCTCGCCTGTGGCGGGCCTGCCAGTGCGGCGGCGGCGGCGCGGGCACAGGGCGGCCGGCGCCATCGGCGGCCTCGGCGTCGGCCTGCTCCTCGGGGCGGCGGCGCGCGTGGAGGAGGCGGTCCAGCCCCTTCCAGTGCACAGGCCATGCCCAGGCGCCAGGTCCGCGCAGCCGCTGCAGCGCGAGCAAGTCCGAGGCCAGCAGCGCCGACGCGCGCACCACCTGCACCAGCATGCCAGGTGAGTAGAACTCCAGCGAGAAGACGCGCGCATGCCAGTCGATGACGGCATTGCAGGCCACCATCTCGCAGCCGACCCGCCGCAACGCCAGCGCACATGCCTGCGCAGGGTCGCGGCGCTGCCCCCAGGGGCGGCGAAGGTCGAGCAGGCCTTGCGCCCCAAGCCAGCACTCCTGCACCACAGCGGCGCTGGGCAGGCCCGTCTCCAGCGTCATGCCCCAGGAGCGCGCCACCTCCACCGCATGCACCACGAAGGGGTCGCGGTAGGCAGCGCCGCGCAGCGCCCGCAGCCGCAGGCCGACGCTGGCGCCCATGGGCAGCCTGCCCTCTGCGCGCATGGCGGCTACCCGCAGGCCGTGCAGCTTCCCACAGGCGAGGCCCGTCACCGCGGAGCCCCAGACGGCGGTGGCCGCGGGGCTGCCTCTCTGGATGTGGCCCACCTGCGCACCAGCGCTGCGCAGCAGGCGCGCCCGCGCACTGACCGCCGCCGCGCGGCCGAGCCGAGCGTCCTGCTCGCGCACGCGCCTCCAGCGCCCATCGGTGGCGTCGCCGCCAAGGCAGCGGGCGCCAGTCCAGCGGGGCAGCGGCCCGTGCGCCCAGCAGCCGTCCAGCGCGTCGCCGAGGTCCTCGCTGTTCGCTAGGTAGCCCGTCTTCGCCACCAAGATGACCAGCCCCTTGGCGACCAGGCCCTCTGTGAGGGCATCCATGGCCCTGGGGAGCTGCTGCACCACTTGAGCCCTGCCGCCGACCGCCTGCAGCAGCACGTCGTCGACGACGTTCTGCAGGCGAACCACAGGGTTCTCGCGCACAATCTTCACGAAGAGGGTGTGCACCAGCAGCTTGGCCAGCCCGACCGCACCACTGCAGCCGGCCACAATGGTGCCGTTCGCCTCGAACGGCTTGGAGACCGAGCCGCGCCAGGACACGCGGCGCTGCGTGCAGTGCGACACGCAGTAGCACTGCAGCAGCGCGAGCGGGAACTCCGTGGCGGCCGCCTGCACGCGCAGCCCCTCATGGCTGACGTGCTCGTAGAACCGCGCCAGGTCGGTGACGCCCGTGGCCGCCGAGAGGCCCCTGCTGCGAGCGAGGGCCGCCGGGAGGTTGCGCACCGCCCCCGCGCGCTCGCACGGGCACTCCGACGTGCCCCAGAAGGCAGGGTTCTTCAACGAGGCCTCCCAGCGGGCCACCAGCGGCTGCCGCATCCTGCTCCAGACCCTCAGCCAGATGGCCGTGAGGCCGATCGGCCGCTGGCCGCCGGCAGCCTTGGGGATGAACACCATGATCAGCTGCCGCAGCGCCTCCCGCGAAGGCTTCCGCTCCCAGGCAATGAGGAGCTCCAGGAAGCGCTGCCTGTAGGACTGCGGCAGGCGCAGCAGCTGCTTCGGGTGGAGCCTGTCCCACCCGAGGCCGCACCCCTCGCGGTAGGTGCCCAAGACCCGCTCGAGGTCCTCGAGCTCCAGCGGCGGCAGCACCGACTCCTGGATGTCCCAATCCTCGGGCGCCGCCTCGCCTGCGCGCGACGGCTTGATCCAGAGCGGCTGCCGCGCCTCCAGCAGCGCAGCCACTGCGGCCTCGCCCGCTACGGGCATGCGCGGGTCGTCGTCACCGTCCGCGCCCGGGAGCACCACAGTGGGCACCGCCGCGACCTGCTTGGTGAAGCGGTAGGCCGCCGAGCCGCCCTTCTCGGTGGCCGCGGCCTGGGCCCAGGCGCGCCACTCCGCGGCCTTCTGCTGCTTGTCCAGCCTCCAGCGCCGCCTCGCCTCCTCCTGGGCGAATTGCACCGTCAGCTGGCACGATGAGGAGCTGAGCAAGCCCACCGCGCGAGCCACCGACAGCCCAGCAAGCGGGCCTTCCTCAGGCCACTTGAGCTCGAACGCCATCAGCACCTCGCGCTGCTTGCGAAGCGGCGCCCAGCAGCGACCTCCTGCGCCAGCGGCGCCTGTGGCTGGGTGCGCCTCGCGCGCCTCCAAGCAGGGCGCGGGCGAGCCCGCCGCGCCGCCGGGGGGGGCCGGCGGCCCCCGGCGCATGTCCAAGGCCCGGCTGGCTGCGACTCCTCGGCAGGCGAGCTGCCCCGTGGACCTGGCGCCGCCTCCTGCAGCGCGCGCCAGCGGGCGCATGCCGCCGCGAAGGACATCCAGCGTCTGCAGGCAGCGCCGACGCTCCTCTTGAGGTCCTGCTTCCATGCCACCTCCATCTCGACCCTCTGCGTGCGCAGCCCGCCAGCGCGCCCTTTCCAGCGGCTGGGCGGCGCGAT